GCTCCACGAAGCCCCTCTGTCAAAAGGGGATTTCTTTCAACCGTTCTGGCAGGAGGGCGGAGGCAAGCAAGTAAGGAACGAAAAGGCCAGCAAATGGTCCACGTTCTGTTGGAAAATGGGGTCTCTCTGCCATACCTTGTTTCTGGACCGGGGGGTCCCCAGCAGTGGAAGGAAGCTTTGGTCCTGGGCAAGTGCAGGGAGCATTTTCAAGTGTGTAAAACACACAGAAGGGATCCAGACGAAATGGGTCCCCACAAGGTGCCTGGTAGAAGGAGAGCCATCAGCCAGAGAACATTGTGCAACTAAACTGGGAACAAGAATCTGACTCCTTGCTCACTTCTCTCACCTCAGGAAGAAACCTCTATGGGCCCCCCCCCATCCTGACACCCGACAGCCTCAGTCAGAGATCCACAACCCGCCAGGCGGGGAGGGAATGTATGAAGAACCTGAGTCTTGGCAAGTCGCTTCGGGGACATCTTCCTTTGCCGTCTGCTCAGGGCTAGCACACAGAAAGGCCAGCACCTTCCTTGGCCACAAAAGAAAGAGGGAGGGGAAAGAAAACGGACCCTGTCTAGTGTAACTGCAAACTTCCGGTCACCCTCAAAAGAAAGCCTGAGCCCACCGAGAGGCAGCTGGGGTTATCACGGGTTACTCTAAGTGATGTCACAAAGCTGCTTTTGCAACCAACGAACGGCACACTAAGATGGAAGGGGTGGCTTTTCAGCCTTGGGTCCAGCTTCCCCGCTGTCCTACCCTGGGAGGGCAGTGGCTATCAAGACAGCTTGATGGGCAGGTCCTCTCCGTATTTCCGGAGCAGCTTCTGGTGGTTGTGGTCCACTGACCACTGCTGCGGCAGGTGCTTGGGCTGCATGGTGTCCAGGAAGTGCTGCCGCCACCGGCTCTCCAGCTGCATGAGGGAGTGCAGCCCCCCCTGGGAGTGGCACTGCACCACCTTCAGCCCGTGAGGGACGTAGTTCTCATTGGAAATCCTGGCGAGACATAATGCACACAGGGCATGAGGGCAACAAACAGAGGGTGAGCTCCGAAACACTCACGCCCACACCACCACGCTCACTGCCATTGGGCCAATGTTGGCTCACCGTGACCCAACACGACAGGAGAGCTGGCCCTGTGAGTTTCCAAGGCGGTGACTCATTACGGGAGTAGCCAGCCCCAGTTTTTCTCCCGAAGAATGGCCAATGGTTTCCAACTGCTGAACTTGTAACCACTATGCCACACAGACTCCTAACAAGCTGCTTTTCAAAACATGCTCCGTTCCCTGTCGTGTGGAACAATAGCCAGGGCACACTATACGCCGTCCAGCAGAAAGCACTTGGGGTTACTGAACTCTACTTCTGGGTGGGGCCCTACTGCCTGGCTTACAACAGGTGAGCCACAGGGTTGTTTGGAATAGGAGCTTAGTTACCAGTTTACCTTTTGTGTTTAAGTTAACTATTCAGAATCATGTCGCTTTACTGTGCTTGAGTTGGTTCCGACTCACAGTGACCACTGCCCCGTCCTGCACCATACTCACCGTCTTTGCTGTGGAAGGCCGCTGCTGCAGTCACTGTGTCCACCCATCTCACTGAGGGGCTTAATCTTTTTCAGTGCCCCGCTACCTCACCAAGCCTGATGGCCTTCTCCAGGACTGATCCCTTGTGATAACATGCTGGGGTTGGGCTTCTTTCCAAAGAAAGTGCTCATTCTTCTGGCAGTCCACAGCATATTCAATAGTATTTGCCAACACCAGAATGCAAAGACATCAATACCAATTCTCCAGTCTTTCTTACACACAAAGCAACTGAAAGTACCATGGCCTGGGTCGGTTGTCCCTCGTCCTCAGGGCACAGTTTGCTTTTGAATACTTCTTTGGCAAAAAGACATTCGATTTTCTGACTGCTGCTTCCATGGGTATTATGAAGCCATGTTAAAATCCTCAACAACATCCCTCTTTTCTTAGTTTATCATGATGTTATTTATTGGTCCAATTTTAAGTATTTTAACTTTATGTTGAGGTCCAACCCATATATATATCGTCACAGGCCCTCATCAGTAAGTGCTTCCCTATCAGCAAGCACATCACACATTAATGAGCCTCTCTGATCTTGATGCCTCATTCTTCTTCATCTATAGTCCAGCTTCTTGAGTTATTTGTTCAGCGTACAGATTGAATACGCATTGTGAAAGGACAACCCTGATGCACACTGGGTTAGTCTGCGTAGACTAGAGAAACCAAGAAGGTTTCTTTTTGGTATTGTAACTTTGTGCATTCTTTCCATTTTCTTTTGTTGCTTCCTTATAAACATAGACACTCATATGTGTATTAAAAAGAGCTTTATATACAAGAGCAATTGGATATTGAGAAAAATCCCAGCCCAGTCCAGATCAAGTCCTTAAGTCCCATATTAGCCCATATGTCTGATACCAATCTATAATTCCTCTTCAGACTCACAGAACACATGCAATGATGCCAAATGCAGGAAGACCACAGGCCAGTGGGTGGAAAGTCTTGTGGATCCAGGGGCAGTGGAAGCATCTCTGTGCTGGCAGGGGTTTCCATGTGGCTCCTTCAGCTCCAGGGCTCTAGCGTAGCTCCATGTGTCTTGTCAGCAAGCATGTCTCGCAGGGAGTGAGTGTGTGTCCTGCCTCCAGTGAGGTATTTACCTCCTTAGTGCCTCCAAATGAGGTCATCAATCTGCAACCGGATTGACAGGCTAAACTCCACCCCCTTCACTCTTAAATCTCAAATTGACAACAGATTATGTAACTACCACACACACCTTTCTTGATTTTAAACCACAGCATCCCCCTGGTTCTGTCCAACAACTGCTCCCTGCACAGGTTCCGCATGAACGTAAGTTTTCTGGAATCCCCGTTCTTCACAATGTCATCCATGTGTGTCATAACAAACATCATTGCATGCTCAATAGAACACAGGAAACCATCTTCTGGCATTCTCTGTTTCCAGTCAAGACCCATGTGACATCCCTCACTCCACATTCCTGAATTTCTGGCAGTTCCTTGTCTTCTACAATTGTTTTTGAATAATCTAGCAAAATGTTGCTTGTGTGTGACAATTACAATACTGTTCTATAATTTCCACATTCTGTTGGATTACCTTTTTTGTAATGGGAACAAATATGGGAGTAAATCTCTTCCTGGTGGCTGGCCAGGAAGCTGTCTTCCAAATCTCTTATCACAGATGAGCGTGCACTGTTAGTGGGGCATCCATTTGTTGAAATTTCTCATGGGGTATTGTCAGTTCCTAATGTATTTCCCCAATGTCTGAGTACAGCTTAGACTTCCCTCTTCGATACCATTGGTTCTCAATGGTTCAATGTTGACCCATTCTGGTTGGCATTGCAACTGTGTGCATTCTTTCCATTTTCTCTTGAGGCTTCCTGTGTTGTTCAATATTGCAACTTGAGAACTGGATTTCTTCCCTTCGTTCGTTCAGCTTGAGGAGCGCCAAATGTGGTCTTTCTTCTTGGTTTCCTAACCCTGCGTCTTTGCACACTTCATTATGATATTTTATTTTGTCTACCCAAGCCATCCGGGGAAATCTGCTCAGCTCTTTTATCTATGATTTCTTCCATTTGCTTAGGCTACTCAACGTTCAAGAGCAAGTTTCAGATCTCTTCTGACATTCAGTTAGGTCTTTTCTTCCTTTTTTGTCCTTTTAATAACCTTTTGCTTCCTTCTTACATGGTTTTCTTGAAAGTCATCCCATACTTGTCTGGTTTTCAGTCATTAGTGTTCAATGCATCGCATTTATTCTGGAGATGGTCTCTAAATTCAAGAGGGATATATTCAAAACCATACTTTGACTCTGATGGACTTGTTTTAATTTTCTTCCGCTTCAACTTGAACTTGCGTATGAGCAATTGGTGGTCAGCCCCTGGCCCTTTCTGACTAATGATATTCTGAACCACATCAGTATTTATATGAGGCTGCTAAATGATTCCACATGTTCCCACTTCTCCAATACCATGGTCTAATAGCAGAGCATAAATGCCAACGTGGTACACTGCTTTAGCACCTTCTTTCTTGCAAGGAGGATGCCACACCGCCTCTGTGGAAGTGCTTCAGTACAATGGAATTTGACTGGTGCTGCTTTAGAGGAAGATGAAGCCCTGCCTCCTTCCTGATGATGGAGAGGTCTCAAATCTGCTCTGATCGCATGCGAACCGTGTCTTCCACCTCCTGAGATGAAAGGCTCCCTTTCTCAAGGAAGCAGCCTGCTTTTGGACTCTGTTCCTCACTGACATCTGTGCCACATGCTCAAACCTCCTTCCCAAAGCCCCACTAGGCTAGCAATGTGGTCTCTGGGCACCTCCGATGTATTCTTATTAGCTCACTAGCACTTGCCTGTCTTTTCCGAAAAAGCTGTTTTCCGTCCTCGATATTGCAAGTCTAGCATCCATCTGTCTAAATCAGCCAGAAGAATGTGTTATTGAGAGAGTGTAGGGCTGATGTGGAAAGGTTGGCTGTCAGAGGAAATACATTTGGACACTGGTGGAAGGAGCCAGTCTCACGAATCTAGAATATGACGCTGGAAAGCTACTTAACTTGAACCTCAGGGTATCTAAACATAAGACTTGGAAAATAACTTATACGAGGGTGCTTAAAAAAGTAACTTCACAAAATAGTCACCGGTTTAAAATTCAGTAACAAATATGTATGTTTTGAAAGGTTAGGATGAGTTTATTGAAGAGGAATACTTTGGAAAAGAACTAATAAATCTTTTTAAAATGCAAAATATTTCTTAAAATGTAAGACCTAGTATTAGCAGCTACCAGTACAAAATGTAAATCCTATTTCAGAGGGTTGTTATGAGAAATGACTGAGGCAATTGAGAGCAAGTGGATGAGCTCAGTGCTAGAAGATACTGTCCCCACCCATGAACATTTGGTCCATTGAGGTTTGCTGGGATCAAGAAAGGATTTTTGGTTTTGTTTTTAATTGCTTGAGAAAAAAACAACATAGGCAACAAACATCACCATTAGAGTTTCGGGGTTTTTTTTCAGTTTTATTTTAAATTGATCAGTTCAATTATTTTGATCCCTGGTCCTGCTGGAAATTGTGCCAGTTGGGAACAAAACTAAACCCAGTAGCCTAGTGTCCTTACCAACCGATCCATGTGCCTGGTCATTTCTCAGGACCGTAAATGTCTCATGTAGGGATCCTGAATTCTAGCATATGAATTCAACTGTGAACGCCCGGGGAGGCAGAGGGGAGGGAGGAGAAAGGGAAAAGAGCTGTCAACAGCCACTGTCCTTTGCCTCACGTCCCTCGGGGGTGAGCACACTGGCGTGCCTGTGAGATCAGAAGCCTGAATGGCCTGGTCTCAAACTGGCGTGCCTGTGAGATCAGAAGCCTGAATGGCCTGGTCTCAGAAGCTACATCCCTTCTGTGGTTGGAGACGCAAAACCTCCCTGTCTGGGACTTCAGGAGTTATACGGGGATTCAAGAGCTCTGGGGCTATCTCTTGACTACTGTTTTCATCTTGTGTGCTGACCTTTGGGCGGATCTCAGCATGGAATGTCTACAGTACAACTCCGTTGCATGTGCACGCTCATGCTAATCCAGTAAATAAATGACTGGACCTAAGTGCATGACCTTAAAAGGTCAAAGGCTGACAACCAATGAAAAGTCATGTCTCATATGGAAAACAAACGTGATAGGCGGCAACTGCACCTCAGCTGTGAATGCCGGCCCTCCCTTCCTGACAAGCATTTTCCCTACGCAGTCCCTGTGAATGCCCGTGGATCATTTCCCATCTCCCTTCCCTGGCCAGGTCTGAAAGAAACCGTACCTGGTCTCCAGGCTGGCCGCCTCTTGGAGCATCTCATCTGTGACGGTGTCTGTGTTATAGAACTCTCGGAGCGCTTGCAGCAGCTCCTCTTTGCGGTGGGCAGGCAGGCTCTCGGCGTTGAGCAGGGCCCTGGCCCCGGAGCGCACCTGGCGCCGGTCAGGATCTTCCAGCAGGCGCAAGCCCTCCTCCGAGCCGATGGGGGCCTGGAACTCCTTGGCCAGCTGCTGCTTCAAGTGATTGTCTTGGAAGTTGGAGATGGCATGGCAGGAAGTGCAGAGGAGCAGCACGTCATGGGAGTTGTGGTCCTTCATCTCAATAGGGAAGTGCTTCCTGTACTCATGTGGGATCACGTTCTTTCTGGAATAAGCCCAGCGTCCCGAAGGTAGAGCTCATGAGCATAAGTCAGATGACAGAAAACACACACAGCAGAACAAGGAGGTGGGACCCTGGGGTTCTAGTCTAGGCCTAAAGAGGGCGGAGAAGCTCAGGGTGCCCCAACCTACCGAGATTATGGAAAGGCAGTGTCACCTTCTAAATTCTGCCCACCTGCTGCTGGGCCTCAACAGGAGGGCAGATAACCTCTGAGAAGCTGACTGAGCCCCGAAGGAGAGTGTCATAAAATGAAGAGAGGCCAATGGTCTTGGGCATCTAGAAAACAACGCTCTCCATGCCTATGGTAGGTACCTCTCTGCCTCAAGTTCTGGACCTTCACCAGAGGGATCTCCGCCTGTCCTTCTTCTTGGCAGACAAGCCCTCGGCCTATTGGCCTCATTTTACAGCAAGAGAAAGGAGGGGAAAGAATCCCTGCACAGAAAGGACAAGTCTCTGGGTACCCAGGCCCAGTGGGCATCCTCACCTTCCAGGGTGGGGACCCTGACACCACAGACTGTTCCCTCCGGTCGTCTGGGCACTCTACGGGTGGTATCAAGGCTCACAAAGCGCACCGAGCACTCAAGAGAGGAGTGTAAGAGCAGGGAGAGCGGACAGAGCTCCGGAAGGAACTGGGGTGTGAAATGGGACTGTCATTAAGAATGGTAGTGCCTTCCAGAAACTCAGAATTGGGCTCAGGAGGAGCAGCGGCCAGTCTGGCCCAGCAGGTACAGACAGTGTCCAAGCAATCAGGAAGACAGAGATGCCAACCAGGGACAAGTCTCTCAGTCAAACGGCAGAAACTCAGCCAAGGCCCTTGAGAGCCCTGCTCGTGGCTACAAAACACTTTCCCTCTGAGGCAGGGGCCCGGGCAGCCCAGCACCACACTCACCGGATATAGGAGTCTCTCTTGCCACACACCACACACAGGTTCTCTTTAACCATCAAGTAATAGTCTCCTGGGGACTCAGGTCTTCCTGCAGGTTCGAACTGTAGCTTGACCACAAAAGGCTCTTCACTCACGAGCTCTTGGAGAAAAGCAGCCGCGGTTCAGCGTCGGGCTGCCCCCTCCCCGGGTAGGTGCTGGGGCTCTGCTCTAGGCTGTATCCGGGTCACGGTCACTGTTTCCCAGTCTGGAAGGGTGCAGTCTCCTGGGCCTCGAGGACTCCCTATCTTCCTTGGTCGCCCCCAGCCCCTACGCCCCCACCCCCCCATGCCAGTACCCACATGCCCCTAATGACTGATGAGATGCGAGGGCGAAGTCTCAAACCTCCGATGCCTTTGTCCAGGTACCACTGAGCTTTCCTTCGGTCACAAGTGCAGAGGGGCTGTCCATCAGGAGCATGGAGGAAGCAGTTGTCATAGAGGGGTGATTTTCTACAGGGGACAAAGACACACACTTCAAACTGAAAACCATTAGTTAAGGCAGCAGTTCTCAACCTGTGGTTGGAGGCCCCTTGGGGGTGGGGTCTCATATGACCCTTTCACAGGGGTCGCCCGATCCCTAACAGTAGCAAAATGACAGTTATGGAATAGTAACGAAAATAATTTTATGGTTGGGGGGTCATCACCACATGAGGAACTGCATCAAAGGGTCACGGCATTAGGGAGGTTGAGAACCACTGAGTTAAGGTCTCATTGGCCTGCCCACGCTTTCGTCTGAGTAACCCACCCACACAATTCTCCACGCTAAGCCAGATATGCCAATTATGGGAGGATAGGGCAAGAAACCACAGCCATGCCACCATCGCTCACTGAGCTAGGGCACAAACGAAAGCCAATCAGATTGTTTATGCTTCTGACTTTTGATATTTGCGGATTGGGATGTGAGGAATGAGTGGAGTGGTATTTACGTAACTTCTGCTGAGGAAGCAAACAGGGAGAGCCCAACAAGAAAACTGCCCTACAGGTAATCAATGAATTAAGCAAAGTAAATGAAAATGACCAGTTGAAACTAGGGAGGGCCAGGTGGTTTTATTTTTGGCTCAGATGCAATACTTGTTTGGATTTCATCATCCAATTCTTAAAGACGCTTTGCTATAGGAACCAGACTTCCACTTCAAAGTCCTGAGGAGCCACCTTTCTGTCATACAAGTATAAGGCAGGCAGGTGGACCAATTCTCACTGGCCTTGGATTAAGGGCTTGATGCTGGACTCCATTCTGCATGGTCAATAGCAAATGGACAAGGAATTAGATGACCCATCGCTCCTGAAAAGTATGAAGCACCTCGTGCTATTCCTTCGGTATATCAGGCACAAGCAAGGGGCAATCAGTACCTCCTCGCTCATAGCTAGAGAAGTCACAGCTTTAAGATCACACCAGGCCAGGGGCAAAAGCTAGGACAAAATTCCCGTTTCCACTACCAACTGTCCCGGGAGAAAAAAAGTGAGATCAAGAGAAACAGACAGACATAAAGTGAAGAAACAGCTACAGATGGACGGAAGAAAAGGACAAGGCAACTGAGGGGGGGGCATCACACCTTTGCACAGACTGCCTCCTTGCTCGGCTGGGGGGCACAGCTCAGTTACCTGGCAGAATAACCCACTCCCAGGGGCTTTCTTTTATGTTTTCTGGGGTCTCTCCCTTGGTGGCTGCCTGGGACCATTCCATCCACCTTAGGCGTCTTGTTTCTTGACTTCTGATGAATTTCTGCCGCTTCCCCATTCACTTCTTCTCCCAATCTGCCAATCCCTTTGCTTCTGAACGGGATGTCTACTATATCCTGACATTGCTCCAGGACTTTTCTCCAGCGGATGTGGCCACTGTGCTCTTCTGGAGCTGAGGTCCTGGAGAAAGGGTATCCGAGAAGATGGAGAAAGAGCGCCACTGCAACCTGGGCGTCCCTGGCAGCATAGGTGACCTGACGGGAGAAGCCGGCCATCAGTGGAGCACGGGAGGCACATCCAAATCACCAAGACAGGGACCCTTTGAGGACCCTAATTCACACAACGCAGTAGCCAAGGCACCACGTACTGACATTTTCTTAAATTATGAAAAAAATGTTAAATGATTCCAAAGTAAACACCTAACATACTCTAAAATAGTTTGTGTAGGTAGTTAACTAAAGTAGCTAAAAGATGTCATCATCTCAAAGCTCAAAACCCCAATGGATCCTGTCAACTTGCAAAGGGGTGGAGTCTAGCCTGTCAATCAGGTGGCAGCTTTATGGCCTCATTTGGGAGGCGCAAATGGAGAGAAAGAGCTCACTGGAGGCCAGATACACGCTCACTCCGAGACGTATTCCTGATGACAAGACACATGGAGCTACACTGGAGCCCTGGAACTGGAGGAACCACGTGGAGACCCCTGCCAGCACTGAGATGCTTACACTGCCACAGGATCTACAAGACTTTCCACCCACTGGCCTGTGATTCTTCCTGCATTTGGCGTCATTGCATGTGTTGTGTGGGTGTGAAAAGGAATTTATAGATTGGTATTGGGCATATGGGCTAATATCAGACTTATGAACTTGATCTGGACTGGGCTGGGATGTTTTCTCAATATTCAATTGCTCTCATATATAAAGCACTTTCTTATACACATGAGTGTCTATGAATTTGTTTCTCCAGTCAACTCAGACTAACACAAGATCAAAGCCAGTGAAGTTTTTTTCTCTGCTACCAACCCATTAGGGCAGATTTTTCTCAAGTTTCGAGGTTGGAGGGAGTTGTTTAACAAAGATGTGACAATGAGTTCATGACATTAATGTGTGGGTGGCCATCACTGGAGTGGCCGAAAGCACCATGAGCAGGCCTGTGTGACTGTCAATCAGGCATGACCTTCCAAACATGCCGAAAACAAACAAGTTCCAAATACGCGCCTCGAACAGAAAAGTCCTGGAGGCCCATTCTTAGACTTTAGTGATTAATGATAAGTCATTCTCCCAAGCAGTGGGAACGGGCAGCTGGTCACAGATAAAAGGAGTCAAAACTACCATCAGGAGCTGGTCCTCACAAAGGGCTGAAGGACTTAGGATTCCTTGTGGTGGTGGTGTTAGGTGTTGCCAAGTTTGTTTCAATTCGTACCAGCCCCGTGCACCACAGACTCAAACGCTGCCCTAACCGGAGCTGTCCTCACAATGCCTGATAAATAACCCTACCAGTAAGGATTTTTTTTTATGTGTTTAATACTATATCATCATCATCATATTCATTATTATATAATATATAGGAGTTGGGTCCTTTTCCTCTTAACAAACAGAAAGCAATCAAATAAAGCAAGTGTGGATAACATTTTCTACCTGGACCCAGCAATCCACATGTCAGCCAACTAACTGTCTCCCATGGAAAAAGAGTGGGCCTGCACGTGAAGGTTCCACTTGCTTTCAAACACCATGTTTTCAAACGGCAAACAAAGCAAGGCATATGCAACACATGGGGCTCGGACAACTGGCAGGCTGCATGCAGAACACTGACGTTGGACCTCTACCTCATCCCCTGTACAAAACTGACTCCAAATAGACTCCCGCACGAAGTTTCCCTTGAGCTCTGGGGCAGGTCTACAGAATCTCCACGGCTCTGGATCAGGCCGCGAGAGCCTCCTGGCTATGAAACCAAAAGGCTAAGTGACACGAGGGAAAACAGCCGAGTCCATCCGAATTAAAAACCCTCATGCTTCACACAACTCCACTAAGAAAGTACAGAAATAACCCCAATTGGAGAAAATAGTTGTAAATCATCATAAGTAAGAAAAGGAGCTTACATCTAGAATATTTTAAAATTACAGTAAAACACAGGGAGCCCTTGTAAAAAGGGCCAGAGATTTGACTGTGCATTAGGGTGGGAAGAAGACTCACCAGCAGGCTGTGGGATGCAGAGGGCACACTTCGCTGAAAGTGACGAGAACTTGAAGTCCTTACTGATAGAGATTGAAGACGGCAGCCTTCATTCACCCTGCACTGAACCTCAACATACAGAAGGGAAAAAATCCCCACAAGTAAACCAACAAGCAGCATCACGATAAATGGAGAAAAGAATGAAGCTGTCAAGGATTTCATTTTATTTGGATCCACAATCCAATACCTAAGGAAGCAGCAGTCAAGAAATCGAATTACTGATTCCACCAGGAAAATCTGCTGCAAAAGACCTTTCTAAAGTGCTAACAGATAAGAAAGACCCAAGAAGAATTGATGTCTTTGAATTTTAGTTTTGGCAGACTGTGAAATATTCTGTGAACTGCCAAAATAAAGAAGAATTCTGTCTTGGAAATATAGGCAAAATGCTCCTTAGCCGGGAGGATAGATGCGACTTCACTGGACAAGCTAGCAGGAGGAATCCGTCCTGAGAGAAGGAGATCAAGAGAGCCGGAGGGAAAGAACCCCCTCCGCTGAGAGCCTGGTGCAGGGGTTGCAAGATGGGGCTCAAACAGAGCGGCGGGTCTCAAGCTGGCCCAGGACCCGGCTGGCTGTCGTTCGGGTCTACCGAGGATTGAAACCAACTCCACAGCACCTCCTCACAACCGGCAGTACTGTACATCTTATACTAGTATGGATTTTAAATCATGCTTCTGCATTGGTGATAACAATACATCCTCTATACCAGTATTCACAACAGCCAGGAGGTAGAAACAAACAAGAAGGCATCCATCGACGGATGGATGGATGGACAAATATGGTTTCTACAGCCAATGGAAGGTTATTCAGCCATAAACAAAAGTGAAGTCTGAGACGGATGAATAAACTTTGAAGCCATTCTACCAAGTGAAATAAGCCAGAAACAAAAAGACCAATATTAAAAGATCCCATAGATGAGGGTAAGTCAAAGAGTACTACTACAAAAGCACAGGGACTTTTACTAAACAAAACCATCCAAATGTGAAGCCATTGCCAACACATTCTCCCTGCAGGGCTGGACACTGGTGGAGAAGGTAGTGTTTCCAGCTCGGTAATCCTTCCATGAAATTTGCTGTGTTCTTCAATTACATCACATCCAAATGGAAGTTTTGGCATCTTTGAGGGACTAAAATCAGGCTCCTCTTCGATATTCACTGAGCTGTAGAGACCAAAAGAAGCCCAGGGACAAAACCAGGGCTATCAAGTAGATACGGCAACCTTGAATGAGCAGGTGTACTGTCATGATGGAAAAATTCCTCAGCACAACTTTTTCTGGTCTTTTTCTCACCGATGCAGCTTTTACTCTTCTCAAAACTGCTTCATAAGCATCCTTTGAGAAGGGTCAAAGTATCCTTTGAGAAAATCTATCAAGATTACCCCTCGTGGGTCCCCTAAACGAGCTGCAGAACCTCTGAGCTGACCCTTCTGTCTGGATCAGCGGATTCCCTCAGAAGCCACCGTTTGCTTGGACCCGTTTTGAAGAAACCCTAACGCGACTACAAAGACTACTGAGCATGCTTGTCTGCAGCCATCCACTGAGGGCGGAGAAACGCTTCTGACCTGGAATAAACTCATGCGAGTGTGAGCTGGAATCCTAGCAGCAATGCTTTCTGATTACCCTCACCTAGGAAATATCTGCAACAGGCAACTACCAAGAAGCAGAAGGTCCATCAGTGGTTCCCAGAGACGTCGGGAGGGTCAGTTCTCGTTCCAGCGGTAGAGTTTCTGTCTGGGGTGATGAAGAGGTCTGGGCAAGAACAGTGGTGATGGTTGCACAGCATTGTGAGTGAGATTAATGCCACTGACTTGTCCACTGGAAAATGGTTAAATTGCTTGTTTTTATGTTGTGTATCTTTTACCACGGTAATATACATATGCATTCGATAACAACAAAACCAGAATAGTCCTCTACTGCTGTATAATGGCATCTCCTGAATGAACACAATTAATGCAACTCCGCATCCATAGCTTACAGAAAAAGACACGACCCTAACAACAGAGTGCCAGTTAATGAATGCAAGGCCATCAGGCTCTCCTGGCACCCTGAGCCCACTCTTCAGAAAGAAGACCGCGCTGGCTAGAACACCAGCCTGTGCACTTGATGCAGCGCATTTGCTGAGTGAAAGAAAACCGTCAGCACCCATTGTGTGCTAAGAGCTGAATGAGGGATGGTGGGTTTCTTTAACCCCATAACCTGTGAGATAATAAACGTCTCCATTTTACAGATTAAAAGAAAAGCAAACAATGGAGTCACTGGTTCTGAGGCAGCTCGATAGATCTGAACTTCATGTTTAGCTCATTCCCACTGTTTTCCCCCAAGCCATCTAAACTATGAATCTCTTCAGAGATTTCACCTGAGGTTATCTATCGTCCTCAAATAAGATCTAAACATTTCAGTCATTCTCTGCCTTTGCTGCAAGTGAACGCCGCACTGGAACGGGAGCCCCCAGGCATACTCCGCCACTCTGTTTCTGAACATTTAGAAATGAAGACGCTTTGCAGATAATAAAACCGACATTTTCTGAAAAGCCTGTCAGGTTAGTGTCCAAATGTGCATACGTCTAAGTATGTGTATCTATGTAAACCTGTAATACAAGCACACATACACATACACACATGGACGCTGACTCCATTACCTAAGTGACATCCACATGATTACTGAACAATTATCTTGAATCACCAGACAAGGAACATATTTTAAAAGCATGTCAGCCCAATACTTTTCTAACACCTCTGGGATTAGCGTTCGAAAAGGACTGTGCTTCAGAAGCAAGGACTACTCCGTGAGAAGTACCTGGTCTTCAGTCAGACTCTCGGCATCCCAGTTGCTGCAGCGAAGTCGAAGGGACTTGTCGAGGGGAAAGTTCAAGATGGTCTCGGCGAGTGATTTCAGGCTAAGCCCATTACACAGCAAATTGTTCCTGCAAGAAATGAATAAAACTCGGTGTCACAAATGGGTAATGGACCTAAGTGGGAAATTCAGGGAACAAGGCATAAAAATGGGTAAGAGACATATGAAAAGTGACTCCATTCAATTAGAAATCAAAGAAAATTAAAATGACACAGAAGTTTCATCTATCAGATTGCAAAATTTGTTTAAAAGAATCGTATCTGGTCTTAGTGAGCATGACGGATTAAGCATGCTCAACTCAAATTCATATACTGTAAATTTTTTATACTCCTCACATAAAATATTTAACAAGAAATGGTCATCAAAATATGTTATAAATGAAGACCTGCACACCCAGCCAATTGTTGCCCTCGACAACTGTGGACCCAATGAGTTTGGGCATGTCGTTTTCTAAGACAAATAGAGAGTTTTGCCTTAAATACACGGGTCTTAAAATGAAATTTTCAAAGATACATCATACAGGACATAACTATCTGTAGCCCCAACTTGGGAAGTTTAGAACGAGATACCCTATTTGTTTTCCATCGAAAAAGATCAGCTCTGGATAACTTCTCAGAAGTTGGAGCACTTCCTCTTATTAATATATATCTCAGAAATGTCTAGGCTCCCAAACAACCTCAGATGTTTCAGTAATGATTGCCAGCAATCAACATCTTTTGAAAATGTTTGCCCTTGGCTACAGATGTTCCAGCGTGCACATACACCATACCTCTGCCTCAGGGCTGGGTACCGGAGGTCCAGGCATCCCTTAACAACAAGCCCATAATCCTGGAGGAGCTTGCCGGCATCTTCTGAACATCCCACTCCAACTTTTAAAATGGTACCGTCTGCCAAGATTTCCAGTAATGTTCTCGGTAGTGTTCTTCCGCCACAGACCAGCCTGGGCAAGCGAACCAAGATACAGAGGCCACTTGGAGAGGCCATCTGTAGGAGGGACAGAGGCCTGACTCTGCCTTCCACGTTCACCTGCAACAGAGGAAGACGGCCTGTTCGCAGCTAGCACAACATCGAGTGGCTGAGAGGCAGAGCCCTATCTCCCCAAGGGGGCATATGCCCAAGCTCGAGGCAAAGGAGACCAAATCGGAGCTGCCATCTGTAGGAGGGACAGAGGCCTGACTCTGCCTTC